CTGTTGATCTTCAAAGAGAAGAGTAACATCTGAAGCAAAAAAAATTATTTTCACACATGAAATCCAACAGTTCTTGCTTTTATAGTGTATTATTGTGATAAATAGTGTAATTTCTAGAATTTTTAATTAAAAACAACAATAAAAGATAACAAACCTGCCTATATGTTTTGAGGTTCGGTGATTTGAAGCTCCTTAATTAACAAATTATTCTGTATCCTGGAGTTTCTCTTGGCTGTGAGCTTAGAGGTGCTGGTTATCTGACGTTTTTGTAAGTTCAGATAAGTAAAGTCTAGATAAGCTAAGTTTAGATAAGATAAAACTTTGTTAATCTCTAAGGAAACTCTTGTGCCAGATATTGCTCAGAAAACAAAACTGAATTACATTAGAAAATGCAGTGCCTAGTAAAAAAGCAATAAGACCAGTACATTAATAAAAATAATGTAAGTATGCTGAGATAAGGCTATAGAATAAAAACTCAGAAGTACTGATAATATGGTGCTGCAATATCACACATGATGATCAAACATTGCACATTAATAATGAAATATTACACATGACATGGACAACTTGTGCACTGAGGCAGGTTTTGCTGAGCTGCTGGACCTACTTTTACTCAATAAACATCAAACTCTTCCCCTAATTGTGAGTTTTAATATCAGACAGAGTTAAAACTGAAGCATTCTCTGAATTTTTCCCTTTTCTTCATCCCACAGCAGCCTGAACAGCGTAAACAGCAGCGACTCTCGCTCCAGCGGCTCCCACTGCCACTCCCCGACCTCCCACTTCCGTTACCGGGCCTCCTCCTCCTCCTCCTCTTCGGTGCTGCCCCAGCAGACGCCGGCCCGGCTCTCCTCCGTCTCCTCCCACGACTCGGGCTTCATCTCCCAGGACGCCTTCCAGTCCAAATCCCCGTCACCGATGCCCCCGGAGAGCCTGCAGGTGAGTCGCGGCCGAGCGTTCCTGGTTAATTAGCTGATTGAGGCGAGCAGAGACGTATAAAAATGTGAGTCCTCCTTCGATGTAGGAGGTCTTGTGGATGCTGGCCGGTTGCTAGGATACCGTATGCTAATTGGCTCAAAGCTGCAGCTCATCCGTGTGTTTAAATGTGTTTGCTGAGTCACTTCGGCTGCCACAGAGGGCATACAGATGGTTTCCTAAGCCAGAGAAAGCTGCCACAATTATGTATTTCCACGTCTAATTGTTTCCTCCGTCTCGGTTGATGTCTTGTTTGGACCAAAACCCAGAAATACTAAATTCACAGTCACGTAAATCAAAGAAAAGCAGCAAACAAGGACATATGTGGCTTTTTTTTTTGCATTAATCATGTTTTTAAAAGGAGTTGAGTAATTTTCTGATTAAAAAAAAAGGTCTCCCACACTTAAACTACCAAAAAAAACACTTTGTTTATGCTACTAAGTTTTCAAATGATGAAGAATTATGAGGTGAGAAGCTCTGACAGGTGACGCTCAAGAGCTCTCACTGTTCTGAATCAAAGTGTCAGAAGGCTCTCGTGTGGTTTTGTCTTTACCTCGTCACAAAATTTTTAAAAAGCAATCATTTCGAGCAATAAACTACCAAACTATACTTAACAAGACCTGGCTATTAAATAATGCTGTAATTTTAAAAATGGACACTTTCACTTCAGTCCCTTTCCTCTTCTGCAGTCGCACACGGCTGCACTTCATTGAATCCAAAGCAGTGCAGTGGATCTTCCATTAGTTTTCCTCCTCACTTCTCAGACTCAAAACAGGTTCCCCCTCGAGTGGAGATTTAATTTAACCCTCTGAGCTTCAAGCAGCTTCTGGGCGTTTTCTTTGCTTGTGTCACATTTTTCCTCACTGTGGCCTCATTTATCACTGCAATATGAAGCCCAGCACCTTTATGGAAACAGCACAAGCATGACTAAAAGGAGAGACAACCCATAAATATCCTCTGTGCAGTGTTGTCAAGGTATTAATGCCACAATTCATAAAACAAGAAAAAAATCTTCATTTATATTTCGAAAATTGACAAAAACTGCAAAACATGTGCATCAGGTGTAACCAACGGAAACTGAGCAAACTGTTTATTTATATATTTAGAATTTGCTCAAATATCACAACTTTACTTTTAGATTTTTGGATAATCTTTCAGACAAACCTGTGGTCAGATATGATTAGCTCAAGGGCCTTTTGAAAAGTTTAAAATCTGATGTTTGTGTTAAAACTAATATAAGACGACTCACTGCACTGTTTCTGTTTTTACAGTTTCTGGCTGATTAACGGTGTCATTTTGGCAAAGTTTTTGAAATATAGCGTGTCTTTCAAACACGGTTAAAGGGGGAATTTAAAAAGTCACATGTTGCCGGATCTGGTGAACAGGGAAGTTTTATGCAGCAAACAACTCCTTGGCTGGGTGTTCTGGTGTCCTGATGAAGGGTGGAACCGTTTTCTGACTCTTTCTCGCAAAGTTTCTGTTTGTCGTAGAAGCTCCATCTAGAATTCGATTCTTCTTAGGTAGAAATTTTGTTATTTAACAGAATCACCTTGTTTATGACCATGTGATCACACACAGTCACCTCATGAAAGTCATGATTTGTGGATCTTTTCTGTGATCACAGCTAAACACAGAACCTTAACCTTCAGCTAATCTTCAGCCGCTGCCTTCAAGTGAGGACTGGACAAACTCAGGCCAAAAATCCGCCTTTAGTTTCCATCATTTCAACATGACAAAACTTTTTAAAGTATTTGTTGCATAAACTGAGAAATACTTTTATAAATTGGCAAAATTGTACTGTTTTTGAAAGAGCAATAATTCTACTTTCTTTATATTTAGTGGCACTGAATCATTCGTAATTTTTAAATGCATACGGAGCATTTTGTAAACAATCTTTTATGTGTCCAGTCATCACAGCCTTTAGCTTTTCATTCCACCTGCTGAACCTGCTTCTACTTCCTTTAACACTTCTTTTTGTTCCTAATTCATGCTTGTACTTGCTAATTCTCTCGCTGCTGTAACCACTAACCAGTGTCGTGCTTCTGTGTTTGTGTCGACCTGTTTTCCTGTGCATCCTGCAAACTGCTGCCTCTGTTTTGTGTTTGTGTGTTCGCTGTGCACGACTCTGCTGCAGTCCAGTGTTTCTGCTTTACCCTCTCAGTCTGTCAGTGAGGAGCCTTCCTCTTCCTCCTCCTCCTCCTCCTCCTCCTCCTCTTCCTCACCCTCACACCTCGAGCCCTGCTCCGGGCAACAACAGGTGAACAACCACATGTGGAAACACACAAACACACACTCGGATGTAACTGTCACACTGGTCGGTTTTTGTTATTTTGTGTTTTAAGGTGCTACAAGGAGCTCTGAAGCATCAAAGTATTTACAGAGACTATAAAAAGTCTTTACTACTTTGAAGGCTGCTCTTCACATTTTTTGACAAGAATTTTAAAAAGATATGTTCATGTGGAAGTGAACACAGATTTTTGCAAAGTAATGTCAGTTAATTAAAATGATAACATGAAAAATGATTGCATAAGTATTCACCCTCTTTAAAGTGAGATATTTTAACTCAGGTGCAGTCAGTTGGTGCTAGAAGTCACACAACTAATGAAATGGAGATCATCTGAGTGCAGTGAATTGTCTCAGTGATTGTAATATAAAGATATCTGTAACTGGAATGTCCAGTCATGGTGAATCCGTACTCCAGGATATAACTACATCATGAAGATAAAACACTTCAAGCAACTCTGTGAGAAGGTTAAAGAAGAGCATAAGTCAGAGGATGGACACAAGAAAACTTCAAATTCACTAAGAGAACAATGGAATACATCATGAAATGGAAGGAAAATGGAACATATGTACAAAGAAAACTGATTGTGATTCAATGTTGAAAAGCAGTAAAAGGTAAAAACTTTCAAGAGGGATGAATACTTTTTTTTATAGGACGTTGTCAGAATGTATATAGTATACCAGTAAACAGGAAACAGATCTGGGTATTTATTTGCAACTCAAAAACAAACGTTAGTAAAGTCTTTCTTATAAAAATCAAAAATGGGGGAAAAAAAAGGTGTTTCAGGTGTCAGAATCAAAAACAAAACAACAACCAAACGCTGTCAATTTATCTTGATTGAGATTATTTCATTTTTGTTTCAGTTGTTACATTAAAAGTAAAAGAAAACCTCACATGACTGCTGATTCTTATTTCTTACAAAAACAGAAAAGGAAATAAAGAATTGTTAAAGACCAAAAATGTAGAATTTTTATTTTTTTTTAAAACAGTTTTTCATTTTGGCTCTGAAAAAAAAGAACAAATTTAGTTTGTTTTTTGTTACAAATTCTCAATATGGATTATTTATTAATACTGCGATTGAAACCAAGTTGACCTGAGACCATGTTTGGAAAGGAAATCAGTGGATTTAACTTTGATGAGACATTAAAAGGTTGGAGTTGACGTTAAAAGGATTTAAAAGTTGACGTTTTTAAAAGTCTTTCCAGACCTTTAAAAACATCCAGTTTTGTTCAGTTGTTTGAGCAACATGTAGCACCTTGTACCTCTGTCATGGTTCCACATAAGCGGTCACAACCATCAGCTTTAATTTTTAAATTGTGTTTCTGCCTTCTTCATCCACTCACCTTCAGTTGCCAAACGGCTTTGAGCATCACGCTGCCCTCTGTCTGCATGGAATGGTACTGCAGACCCAGGACATCCACCTCCACCCTTCATACCTCACCTACTCCTCCTCCTCCTCCTCCACCACCACCTCTCCCATCTCCTCGCCCTCCTATTCGTCCGTTTCTCCCACGTGGCCGTGGTGTCGCTCAGGCCTCGGCCAATCAGGAGATTTCCCGCCTCTTGGCCCCTCTGGGCTCGGAGTGATCCTGTCATCCAGAGTCCCATCCTGGAAGGTTTGACCCACACTCCACCCTGACCTCCTCCCCGTTTCCTTTAATCTATCTTTGTCTCATCTTTGCCCTTTTCTTTTGATTTTGCGTCCTTTTAATTTATTCATCTGGAATTTATTTTTGTGCTTTATTAAATTTGAACACAACAGATTTCAACCATCTTTTATTTTGGTTCATCTCACCACATTAAATCAACTTTCACTGCAATAAGGAACAGTAATGATGTCACAAATCATAAAAAAAGCACAAAAAAAAGAAGAAGAAGGGCTCCATATTTTTTAGATATTTTTCCTTAGAGATTTTGTTTGGCTCCATATTTGTCTCCTCTCTGCTCTGTGTTAACACTGCCTGCAGTTTAGTCAAAAAATTCCCGGCATTTTTGTCTCGTTACCGTTGGTCACAGCTGACTGACTAATGGCTTCATTATCGCCCTGAAAAGTTCTGAATTGTTTGTTTGTTACAGATTTTGGTTAAAGCAAATTGTTTATTTTGAGCAAATATTTAAATGAGACATGGATAATGATGTGACTTAATTAGATAAGATTGGTATCAAAATGTTTTGCTTGAACCATGCATCCAAGATTATTTCAAGTACTGTCCGAAAGTTTCAAATCCAACATTTCCATCTGTTTTGTGCAGTTTCTGGCTCTGATAGATCATAGAACTTAATTGATTTTTTCATTTTTATTTTTTCAAAGACGACATGTCGTTCAAACCCTGCAGGTTTTGGAGATCAGAAATTAAACCAGGTTTACACTGACGCGTGGTCTGTGAAAATAGTTTGATTTACTCATAACTGAAAAGGAAGTTACTGTAATCTAAATTCTGATAAACATTTGGTTGCAGTGTACAGCATTTCAAATATGCTGGCTACAATTTCAAAATGTAAAACGGACGCTTATTTTTGTTTTAGGAAATCATAAGTCGGTCATTGCTGTAATCATTCATGACAACAGTAAACAAAGAAAATCCTGCTTCTGCATAATGCCAAATATTCAAGAACAATCTTTGTACATTGTAGTTTGCAGCCTTAACCTTCTCGTCATCCAGTGATGTAGTGTTTCATTTAGTCTATAAAATGTCAAAATTAATAACAACTTCTATCAGATATCAGACAAAAATCAAACTGCACAGACTTTATTAAAGATCAGCTATAAAGTGAGCTGCAGCTGGGAGATGTGTGAAGCTCTGTTGTTTCTGATTATATCTTCCTGTGCAGGACTGGGCCAAACCGGGTCCATACGACCAGCCAATGGTTAACACCCTGAAGAGGAGCAAAGACAGGAGAGACACTACAGATCCCAGCAGCCACCAGGGCGCTGATGTCACCACACCAGGGGAGGAGCCACAGGGGGTTAAAGGAGGTCACTCTTCCTCAAAGGTCAGATGGTGTTTAAAAAGCATTTTATATCCATTCAGGTACATGCTGACCAATTAAAAGCCAAAGTAATTTAATAAGGGAAAGTCACATGACTTAATGGCAGCAGTTTGATTGGAGCTTTGAGAATGTGTTTGGTGATGGGTCATTCCACCAATTCAACAAAATTTCACTGACCATCTCATATTAGTCTGATTTTCTTTTTCTGTGCCTACATATGGCATTAAGTAAAATGTCTACATGTTTTGGCCATGGGTGTTTTCACTTTTTGAGCAATAATTGACATGACCCCGCCAACATTTTTTTTTACATTCTTTTCTTAGCACCAATCTGTGGATCAATGTTGAAGAAATTATGTAGCTCGAGTCCTGAAATTTTCAAGGTTCACTGATATGTACAAGTGGACAACGTATAGAATGAACACAGATGAAATTGCTTGAAAAACCAGTTGTAAAACCCTGATTTTTCTTTCAGCCCAGTAATAATATATATAGCTCTTCCGGTTGGGACCACTTTCGGAGTGGTTTCACCATCGTGTCTGCTCAGTAATTGTCCTAATATTGGTCATAAATGCAAGAAACGGAATGTCAATATTTTCCTTCTCATACATTCGTTCTACTCTACATTTTTTAAGCTCCTATTTGCGCCAGTCACAGGGTGAAAACTGAAAGTGGTTATGGTTGGCGGATTGTCGGAGTCGACCAAAGCACTGACATTTTTTGACCAAATTTGCACCATCATAAAACTGGTTTGTATTATTCTATCAAAGTAGGTGTTGGATCCGGTTCTTTAGTTGGAAGCCCAAGAACAAGCCGGAGAAATCTTCTGTTCTCAGATGCAGAGTTTATTTAGGTCACAGGTAAAGTTTTGCAGCGCTGGAATTCAGAGGGACAGAGAGGAATCTCATGTCCAGCTGAACTGAGTGTTTTCGGTTCCAGGTTACAGATATCTTCTTGGGCTGGGCCTGCCCCGAACATAGATAAGATTTAATTGGCCAGTTACTAATGGCGTGGACAGGCATCCTTCTGTGCTCTGTCCACGTCCTTGACATTTTTGGTAAGCAACATGTGTGGATGTTGTTGGTACGGCGTGTAGCTAAAGCAACAATCGTATCTAAGAGAAAAGAGTTTCCACTATCTCCAGGTTTGCAAACCAGTTCTCACTGGCCACATTATCTTCAAGGACATAAGCTCAGTACAAAATACAAACTCAGAATACATAATAACTTGAAACTTAATTAATTATAAGAACCATAGGCTTCATGGAAAAATACAGACTCAGAACACATCATAGCTTGAATCATACTTAATTATAACATTTCCTCCTTTTGACATGATTTTATCATGTCAAT